CAGCCGCTGTTGTAGGTGAGAAGCCGGAAAGGTAAGATACAGAAGGGAATTTAATGTATATCTGTGATCAACGGCAAACTATTGCTTAAGAAAAAACGATTCTGAGCGGAGCTCAGTTGATAGTGATGCTTTGTCAACAATATATATATGCCATAGTATTGTTATTAATATTTGTTTAATATTGTACCTATTTTCCTTTTATCTGTTTTATTCCCCATTTATTGAGAAAACTCTTTGAAAAAATTGACTTCCTTAAAGTACCTTGTCAGTCTCATTTTCTTTCAGAAAATGTGTTATCATTGTAAATCGAAGCAACATTTCTTGCAGAAAAAATGTCCACAGGAAAAAAAAAAACGTAGTAGTATTTTACTGATGTATTTCGTATATTTTCTCGTTTTCTCGACATTTTTTTTCGGTTTTTCGGTACCACCCCGAGAAAATTACCTTTCAGAAAAAGGCGTGTACATCGGCGTAAGCTCTCTGGTAGAATTTGTTTACACAGTATGAAAAAATAAAAAAATATCGTCTTTGTAAAATCAATGTATTCTTCGCCACACTCAGAATCTAAAACTATTACAAAATCAAACTTATCAAAAAATATTGTTCGATATTCGATAATCTACGAATCGAATACCCACGCGTAAACATTTAGAGAAAATATTGATAAAGGAAATTTTTTATCGACAAAATATTATTTCTTTTATACCGATCGAAAATAATAAAGTGTACGTGTGACGTGTATTTGCTGCTATGCAATTCATAACAACAATAATAATAACTCGAGAACGGGAGTACACGTTTTTATTATATTTTTTTAAAATACGCGCGTTATAATGTTATACCGTATAATGCGTAAATGGTGAGATAACAGCGTTTAACAGGAAAGAAACAAAATATAATTACATTGAAAATTATTCAAAGCATTGGGATTTCTTACGGCCACGCAAAATAACTGGCGCTCTCTCTGTAACAACAGTCTCGTCAAACCGATTCCGCGCCAAATAATTTGTATCCGTTTCGTTTCAAGGCGTTCGAACCATGTGTAAATTTAAAATTCTTCGTCCGGAACGTACACACTACACGTACGGTAGATTTGGTTGGTATTGTGCTATAATACTGCACTATTATTATTCGTTGTTTAACGCAATTTGAACAAAAATTTCGGGCGCACTTCGCACCGTGGGTATGAAACCGGAAGGGAGGCAGGGTATATTACGGGTAATTTAATTTATATTTACGACAAATTATTATTACTAACAAAAAACCGATTTCGAGAGAAGCTGTGCGATTAGACATGTTTCGATAAGCTTCAATTGAATATAATTGTATTTTTTCGTAACCATACGGAATTCGCCGTTCACGTTTATTCGTCATGAACGTTTGAGACATTTTCACGGAACCGAAATAGTTTTGCCGGTATAAATCAGAAAATTAAAAGTAGCACGCGAATATGCCTTTAATAATATTATAAACTGCTTTTTTATGAAACCACACAAAAACTATAACAAATGGAAATTTCGATTAGCTAACGAAAAAACATCAGATTTCACTATTATATCAAAACTGACGCTGCAAATTTGTCCCTGCTGATCACAAAATTGCTGTCGAGAGTTTATAAGACGGGGGAAACAGCACGTGTGGGGTCCATGCCTTCTTAAGGTTAGAGCAATTAATTGGACAAAATCATACTAATCCATTTTCAAACGAGTTTAAAGCTTAAAAATATTATAAAATAAAAAATACGAAATTTCCATATCGAAATTGCCTATACGAAACCCCTTCATAATATTAACGTGGTATATAATATTATTATGCCTTAAAAAATTTTAAATGTACAAATACATATGCAGATATGCACAACAAAATATCAAAATATTCTCTTTGAGCCATAAATGCGATAAAAAAATCCATATTACGGTTCGCTTAATTTTTTTTTGTTGTTTTGAACACTGAGTACAACTACTAGTGAACCTCGGGTAAAATTTCCAGACATTTCAGCACGACCAAAATAATCTTATTTACATAAATTTATACAAAATTATTGTTATAGGTATGTGTCTAAAATTATTCTTGTAATTATTGAACCTCGGCCTGTTTTGAAAAAATAAATAAAAAAACAAAACCTATAAAACTTGAAAATATCAAATGCACTTAAAAAAATACCCCTAAAAAAACGCCATAGTATGTTGAAAATCGTATAGATAAGACCGTTATTAGTATTCTATGAAATATTTAGGTTTCTACGGATACTTTTAACCGGAACAATTAACAAAATTAACATCGGAAATAATAATACACATTTATCGTCATTAATTTTTCCGATTTTCCTACGTTTTTATTAAAAAAAAAAAACGACAAGACCAACTATTTGATGCACCAACTATAAAACGTTTTCTTACAGGAAGGATGCTGTTCTTGGAATTGGGAACAAGATTTCCGGTTGAAAAACAAAACCGAAAATTACGTAGTTCTTAAATTTGTCCGTGACATACTTAGCGCGGCTGTAGGTGAGAAGCCGGAAAGACAGCGGGGAGGATTTAATGTATATCTGTACCCAAAGATTAATTATTGCTAACAAAAAAAAAAAAAAGGATTCTGGACGGAGTTTCGTTGACGTACACGTTCTGAAAGGCCGTAATATTTACGATATTGAAATACTATACGTTTCGTACGTTTTCCCGTTTATCGCACGTTTGTTTCCGATTTGTTATAAAAAAAAAAAAAAAAAAATCCCTAGGAAAATTACCTCTCTAAAGCACTACTTGGTAGAAACGTTCAAAATCAACACGTTTCTCGTTCCGTTAGAAAAGTTGTCGATAGAATACAAAAAAAAAAAAAAAAAAAAAATTAACAAACGCGCGTTGTAAAAAAAAAGAAAGAAAAAAAAACCCAACAATACGACGTGTTTGCTCGCTCCGCCCGGAACAATTCCAAAACCGTTTTGCCGAAGCACGGCGGACACGCGCAATGGCCATCGCCGGTCCCTCGGGGCCCGAACCGACCCGACCCGACCCTAACCCGACTCCACTTTGCCCTAAAACCCGACCGTCGGTCGGCCGCGGGATGCCGGCAGTTACACGCGCGGCGCCTGTTTTAAATGCCGCGCCCGGCGACATCGAAACGACGAGAGCCGAAGACGAACGGAATGCGCGGCGCGCTAAAAGAAAAAAAAAAAAAAAAAACCTATACGCCAACGGTGCTAACAGCAACGGTGACAATAATATCGCCGTATCGGATGCGCCCCGTAGTAAGCGGGCACGGTACACTGTCACCGTAACACACGACAACGCGCGGAAAACAATAAACGGTAAAAAAACAAAAAAACAAACAAACAAACAAACGCGTTCGGGCGCACGCCGTACCGACAACGGTAATTGTTTGTTATTGATCGCACGGGGGCGCACGGTCCGATATCGCGTGGCGATTCGATTCGACGGCGCACTTCACGCGGTTCGTCGACTCCGCCGTCGGTGACGCGCACAATAATCCGCGAAAAACGTTGACGGCCGCGACCGTCGGGCCGTGCCGTCCGTGAAACCGACGCCGAAACCAACCCCCGACCGAATATTTTTTTCGCGGAAACCGGACTGCCGGTACGTTTTCCCTCGCGCGCACGTTCGTTCGTTCGGAAAAACCGCTGCTCCGAAATGCGTTTGAAAACTGTCGTCCACTTCGCCGCCCGGCCTGCGCGCGCTGTCGCAAAAGTAGTTGACGTCGCGTACGGGTTATAAACACGACCGAACACGCGTTCGGTTCTGAAACTTTGTTGAATACAACGTGTATTGTAATACGAGGTGTGGCTATTAAATAACGAGAGACTGCTCGCCTAGAGATGCCGCCCTAGATGGACAGTGAAAAAAACGAGTAATGCGTCGGGTGTCTAGATATCTTATCTGTGCACGTACCAAAACACGTTTTCGTCACTGTTATTGTATTTGTGCAGTGGTGGTTTGAAACGAACGTGTTTTTTTTCTCGTGCCGAAAACCGTGTGTGACGAAAAACATGAGCAACGGATAAACGTAAAATTTTCACGTTAAACTAAAAAAAACTCCAACTGAGTGCTATAAGTTGTTAAACGAGGCCTATAGTGAGGATTTCCTATCTCGGGCGCGTGTTTTTGAGTGGCATAAATTATTTTCTGAAGGTCGAGAGTGCACCGGAATCCAATTCAGTCGTAATCCAAATTCAAAACCGTTTTCTTCGATATCAACGGCATCGTGATGACTGAATGGGTTCCAGAGGGTCAAACTGTGAACCAACATTACTATTTGNTTTGGCAACATTGCGCGAATGAGTTCGTAAGAAACGGTCGATATTGTGGAAAAACAAGTCGTGGATCTTGCACCAGGATAAAGCGTGAAGCGTTATTTGGCCGCTTAAGGCACTCCAGTACTCGAACACGCGTCTTACTCACCCGACTTGGCACCCTGCGACTTTTACTTGTTTCCGAAGATAAAGTCTGCGTTAAAAGGAATCCGGTTTGAGTCGATGGAAGAGGTGAAACAAAAACCGGCGGAACTCCTGAATGGTCTTACGAAAACAGACTTTCAGCACTGTCTCGAGCAATGGAAGAAACGAATTAAACGGTGTGTGGCGAGGGGAGGGGAGTATATTGAAGGGGAGCGTTTGAATGTAGAATAACTTTTATAATAAAACACTTTTTCGTAATCAGTCTCGTTATTTAATAGCCACAATTCGTATGTCGTTAATACGCGAACGGGCGTTTCGCGGTTAGGTTAGGCGCGGATTTTTCTTTCTGAAAAGCACCTGAAAATCAACATGATAATCCGAGACTCGATTAAAAACAAATTACGAGCGCATTTCATTATAGATTTGCCTTTGAACGGCATTGTACGAGACGCGTCGTTCGTCTAGAAAACGAGTAAACGACACACGAAACTAAACAATTACTAAACGCACACGCGGTGGACAAAAATCTGCTTTATTTCGTTCCGAATGCAGTTGTACGTACCGACGACAGTTTTACAAAAGCAAAATGGCCAGGTGCCGAGTGTAGGCAGGACGGTGAGGTAGCCGTGCGTACGGTTGACGGGACGGTGCGGCAGGAAACAACCCGCCCCGACTCTATATTAACGTCGTTTTCTGAACAATATTACTGTCCGGATTTCTACACTTCTAGGAGATTATACTTTCAAAACACGGAAAATCGAAAACAAATTTTCGCCAGGTGTACGTGTACACATGCACAGGTCAGACAGACCCGCGTAGAGACGGAAAATCGCATATTTTTCTCTTCTTCTTTTTTTTTTTTTTTTTTATCAAAATTCACGAGTCACCCGTTTACATCGTATGTTATTATTTACAATCCAATTATTCTCGTCGTTAACCGTCGGTACCGTCCGTCGAAAACCATTCAGGTACCTATAAAACGTTTGGGGGTTTTTTTTTTTTCTTACTCCATATTCTGCGTACAACACATCAGTGTTCTCTTACTTTTACTTCGCCAATCCGTGCAGTACGCGTGTGCCGGAGTTGTTGGGGGCCGGCCGATATAATAAAACGCAATAAAAACCTAAAGTCGCATTTTATTATACACGTTAACAATATAGCATTACGGTGTACTATACAGTGTACGCACAATATCATATTTAATAAACGTTTCAAAACCAGTTCTATGTGCACGGCATTAAACGTTTTGATAGTCCGTGTACGCGAAAACGGTATATTAACCTATGCGATTACGTGCCGGACGCGTGTTTCTTGCGAAGCGGACGATATTTTTTCGGTGTTTTTATAGCGATATTGCGAATAATATTATATTGTTTTACACGGCGGCGGCGACGTTACGACGGCACCGATGAAATAAAAAAAAAAAAAATGATAATAAACACGACCAGTGCCAGAAAACTATACGTATGCTATGCAGGTACGGGTGTTCAGTATCTCAGCGGCGTTCCCGTGCGCACGGGGTATTATTACTATGCGTTTTACACAGAGTTACCAGAGATTTATCGCGAACCAGCGATTTTCTCGGGAGAACTTCATCGTTATCATCACCGTGCAGCCTCGAAACCCTGTACGAGTTTTAACTGCCACAGTCACCGACCCCCAGTACCCGCGATGAATGAATTTGATATCTGTTTTTTTTTGTTTTTTTTTATTATTATTATTATTGTGTAAGCTTTATTTTAACACTAAATTAATAGTAACCCCCTCCCCCTTCATTTTTAAACACGGTTTCGATTAGAGAATATTTTGAAACGCGTATTACAAATATCGGATTTACCGTTTAGAATAATTAGAAATAATTTTAAATGTTGGCCGGAAGGTAAATAAATAGTGAACGGTTATCAATTTATAGTCTAAAAATGGACACGAAGTTTATCCACCGAGAAAATTCCTGGATCACCGTAAACGGATCACCCTGTTTGTATACGTATGCGATGTGTATACGTATTTGAACACAATAGTTCGTTCGACATTGGCATAACCATTAATACTAGTCGACGTGTTTTGTCGAAAAATAATTCTCGTTGAAAGCGATGTTTACGGAGCGTTACTTAATTTCCTCAAATTTGTTCAGAAATTTTATTCACACGATTGAAATCGTTAACGAAGGCGGGGCACATATTAAGAGGGGCTCGTATTATATACGCAGCTAATTATCCGCTTGTATACGAAAACGTTGTCGCATAAGAACTCCTTTATTGCACTCCTTTAAAGGCTTTTCCGACGATACCTCGCCGTTACGAGGCACACGAAAACCACAATTTCCGTCCCTTGAGTTTTAATCGTAGTTTTATGCATAGGAAACAACCGTCGAATTATTATTGATTTGTATCGACTACACGATTTTATAACGGTCCACGTAAAACGCTTTCTTCTGTACAGATGGGGATATTCTTTAACAAATTTAGTATCAATCGCGAAAAACGGATGCTCGACGGGACTATATGAAAAAGTGACGGCTATCACACAGATTTTGTACTTACCACTGCTCTGCACATACTTTTACTAACGGTCCTATATATAATGGACACAAGTGCAACTAGGGCTTGGGGGGCTTAGTCTCCCAAATTTACTAATAGTCCCCCATCAAAATAAATAATACTTTATATGTTATTGAATTGAACGAAAAATAAGTACAAGTGTACTAACCAAAGTGCAAGTTGCCATTACAATGTCAATTTCCTCTGCAACATTCGAACGTGCATTTTCTGCCATCCGGCGGATAAATACATACTTAAGGTCAACAATGGACCAAGACCGTTTCAGTAATTTATCCATACTAAGTATTGATTTACAACTAAATGTAAAAGAAAAATGAAAAATTGAATAATTTCTTAACGGTTATTGTCTAATGTATACAAATCATTCAAAATTAAATGATTTTGTTGATTTTTTAGCGTATAAATTTTAAGGTGTTACTAATGGTATAAAATTAAGGCGGGGCTGTTGGACCCCTGAGATTTTGTGCTAGTGGCGCCACCGATAGCGGATTAAACTCTTGTTACGGTGTCGTCAAAGTATTAAAAAAAACACTATCCACAGTACGGTGTAAAATATATACAAGCACCTGCACATAATGTACATTTTATTGTAATTATATATAATTGAAAATTTATATTTTAAACCTCGTTCCATACGGCATAGGTTAGAGTTCTACCGCTCGCAGCGATAGTGTCGTGTTTCCGGTTTGTACACGCGTGTCGGCTATTTCAGAGAGTCAGTATTACGACGACTGCAGATTATCATAATGTATGGCTCGCTGAAAACCCATACACCTATAATAATACTCAATTATATTGAATTTACGATGGCCAGTAGCGTATTCAAGATTTTCCCAAGGTGGTATAGGCATTGAATTTGGAAACTATTTAATATTATTACGTAGCGTGTAGGCCGAAAAAAATTATAACACACAAATTATTAGTTTATTTTTATTACTGCGTTTAGATATTATAATCTGACCGCCTCCGCATAATACAATATGGCGGTTCGGATAGGGTTCGTTTAAAACAAAAATTGCATTCGTTCGGGTCGTGTATTGACAAATCAACTATTAGGTATTGTGATATGTGCACCGGACACATTTGGGATTTTTTCTGACTGAAAAGTAATGGAATTTTAATGTTAAAAACAGTCAACTGTATAGTCTTATATAATCCGTAACGGATATTAAAAAAAAAAAAAAAAAAGATCTCCCCGACCTCTCCCCTTAAATACGCCGCCGCCGGCGGTACCTGAGTAATACTGTTACGACGAGGTACTATTTCGTCAGAACTGCAGATATTGTAGTACTGCCAGTGCGTTAGTACTTTTACATTTTAGTCCGTCCGACACGCACGGCAATATTTTTTCGTACATATACGTGTACGTATAGATACACTCGGGAAGAAAACCAGCGAAAAGGCCAGTGGCACGACGGATTATACAATAATTTCACGTTTAAAGCCGTATACAAATATTATTCGACACGCGTCGTGATGTGCGTAATTTTCGTTTCATCGTTTTTTTTTTTTTTTTATTTTGTTTATAAAATGTAATAGTAAAAACTATGATGGCGACGATGATGCGGCGGATCCCGAGATGTTTAAAAAGTCGTACGTTCGGAGGAAAGAACACGGTAAACAAAATAACGGCTATTTTCGGCGAAAATTCGACCAAATAAATCGTAATGTTCAAATTTCGAAATAAAATATTACAACGTCGGAATGGTGCAAACCATATTAATCGGGAACGTAGAACTCTGTGATTAATACGGCACAATTGATAACGGCTGCTACGTGTTTATGAAGTGTAGTCCGCACGGCCGGAAAATGTGCGTGACTTCATATTACGTGGATAACGAGCTTTATCAGATACGATTGGATTCAAACAAATAAATGTGATTTAAAGTCACTTTAAAATTCCAAGTTTCAGGGCGGCGGCACCCATTTTGTTTCGCACACCGTGTGCTTGTAAATATCTCAAGCCCCCCCCCTCACGGCCAGGGTGCCAGACCGATTGTTCATAAAACAAATTGGTTAAACGTAGTGTAACTGCAAAATATTTCGAAAAAATATGAATACTTAAGCCTGCGAATGCCCCGGCCAACGTATCCGAATAACAGTCTATAGTCACCTATTTTTGAGTTCAACATTGTATGTGCTTGAATATTCATCGTATTGATCAAACCTCGATATTTGTGAGCACTCAAATTTTCATGCAATATGAGTGTTTTCAAAAAAAAAAATATACATACATATTATATGTTCGAGTTTTTAATGGAACCAATCGTTAATTGCTCGGATCCAAACGAGCCGGTGATTATCATCGTCGATAAAGGCCGATGAGAATAGTGTGCCGTTTGGCGTTTTTTTTTAAATTTTTTTTTTTTTATCAACATTGGAATACTACGACGAAGTTTAAGCATATATCCGTACCTGAAAACCGACATTGCCGACCGGCCGCCGGGGCGCTCGTCCTGCCCTGGAACTTGCAAAAAAAGTCGGGACGTATGTTGTAGGCGGCCAAAAAGTGCCGGCACAGGGCGGAAACGTCGGCCGCGTCCGAGGGACCGCCGTAAACGACTCCGGACCGGACCTTTCGGGACTCGGCCGACCGACAGGACGGCGGCGGTTTGGGTCTGGTCGGTTCCGGCCGCGCAGACGACGACGACGACCGCTGCTGTCCGTCATTGTCGTCGTCGTTGTCGCGGTGGTTTCGGCGGTGGCGTCGGTCGTTGTTGTTGTTGTTGTTGTTGGTGGTGGTGGTGGTTAGACTGCCGCCGACGCCGCGGTTGTGGTCCTCGTAAGTCTGGTCGGCCAACAGTTGAGATTCGTATCCGACGACGGAAGCGCACGGGGACATCTGGAAAACGAAACACGGCGCCGTCGGTAAAAATAAGGCTGGTGAATTTAATGCGCTAAAAAAAAAAAAAAACCGAGCGATCGAAAAATCGTCCCCTTCTTCCCCGCTTCCCACCCCCCTCACAAAAAAAAAAAGAGGTGTGAAACGTCACTAACACGACTCGTAACGATATTACGACAACGGCGAGTGGTATTGCACCGCATCGTAAACACTGCGCGTAAAAATACTCGAAACTGCAATCATCGCGTGCCGATCGGCGGAGAACCGAAAACGTTATTGGGGATTTTTTTTTTTTTTTTTTTACGATAAAAGTTAAAAGTAAAAAATAAGGAAAAAAAGTGAAACGTCGCGCGACCGATAACCGCGACGAGACTGCCGGTGAAACACGCGGGCGAGCGTGGGCGAATGGTAAATACAAAAAAAAAAAAATAATAATAACGATAAGAATATTGTACTGCATCGCTAACCGGTCGAAAGCTATATGGTTATGTTGTTGTTTTTTTATTATTATTATTTTTTTTTTCTACGATACGCGCGTGTGCTGTACGCCGGGGTAAAGGGTTAATAGGTTACACCCATCGCCGCGCGTATGAGCGCACGCTGTTTTTTTTTTTTTTTCAAATTTTTTTTTCTAATATGTTATTTAGCGTGTACCCACATAATGTAATATTATAATATCGTTTTTAATAACAGGCTATTATTATGATCTCGATGGAAAACTCGAAAACCGGTACCGTCACGAACGACGGCGACGACGGCGACCACGGCGATGACGGCGGACGGCCGGGACGTCGACGATGCTGGCGTACGCTCGCAACGAGATTTCACCTCCCGCATGAATGCCGCATAAAAATGATAATAATATTATAATGTTGCTTATTACAGCCCGTCCGCCGTGATACCATCGTGTTCTCGAATTTTCGGCGGTTTTTTGTGTTTTAGACAACCTCCGACAAAACGAACGCCTCGTACGGAGGCGCTGGGTTTTGAAAATATCATGGGGGCAGGGGGCTCACTGTATTTTATAAATACGTGTACAGTCTTACCGGAATCTTACCGTATATATTTCCAATCGTTGTTTTCGTTTAATACTGTTCGTTAAACAGTTACTAAAATATAGTTGTTTGTTGTTTTGTAAGCGTTATAATAACATTTTAATGGTATTTAAAAAATTCCAGTTTACCAATTAACCAAGAACATGATTGGTTATCAAAATCTACACTTTTTCTTTGCTATCAATATATAAATATATATATATATATATATATATATATATATATATAAAAAAAACCGTTTCTTTTTCAATTAATTTGTTATAAATGAAATTGATATTTTCAGGATGTACGTAACAAATATTGATTTTTATTTTTATAATACGAGAATAGTGGGAGGCTGAGTTCCGTCTTATTAAGTTCGTGGGAGCCACCTGTACACATGTACCCCTGGTCTCGTACACGCCTGATTGATACGGAGCGTACGCGCTTTCCGAAAGGTTCGAGAGCCGCGGAAAGAGTTGTTTGCATAGCGTTTATGATTATGGTGAGGGGCGGCCCGCGAAACTAGAAAAATCGAAATTTCGGAAAGGCAATATACTCGGATAGGCAAAACCAGGACGATCAAAACTCGAAAAATGACGTCATAGTGTAAAATACTATTTTCAAAATTTTGATTCTCCGAGTTTTGCCGAGAAGTATTGCTAATAGGCGTGCCACAGTTGTAGGCGGGAAGTTGGAAAAGTATGGTGCATATAGAGTTATTCAATATAAAGTACGGCCGAAATGATTGTATCCACAAATATAATCAAATAATAAACTCGAGAATGTCGAACGCCGTTAAATAACAAAATATCGCCATAACGTTTTTAAAATTACACCATATCTAGGTAAATAATAAGCATCACGGCAATTTAAGTATTCTGTGAACCATTTACAACAAAAAGAAAATTACATAAACCTCATTTCCGTCAAGCTTCCCGTTCTCCGCAATGTTATTGAAACACAATAGGGAAAATCAAAAAACGGCATTCCATTCCTGTGCGCCAACTAGACGACATTTTCTTTCGGATGAAATGCTGCTCTTGGCATTCGGAACAAGTTTTCGGTAAAAAAAACTAAATCGATAATAATAAAACTTTAACGGACGTAGATTTGTTCGTTTCTCCCTCACTCAAATTCATTACGAAAAACCATGTTGGAAAAAGACTCCGACTTTTCGGTAAAAATGTATGTACGTAATAGGAGTTAAACCAATAGATTCCATTAGCTGCACTCAGAATCTAATATTGTCGAATATCTAGAAACATTCTGTCGCAGTGTAATCAGCGACGACACGCGGATTTTTAAAAGACGAAATCCTTAGGATTTTTTTCTAGGTTTTTAGTGCATTCATTTCTCAGTTCTAGTTGAACGTTGAATTGAGTCGAATGTTATTATGACTTATGACGCTAAAATTACCGGTGTGAATCTTTAGCAGAAAAGATAATAATAATGCTGCACGCATCTATAATATAATTTATCGACAATTATATTCCGGCCCTTATTTATACTCGCGTATTCTCGAAAACGTGTTTACAACGACCTTGCGGTATAACTCGGGTTATTTTTTTCGGTGGGAGGGATACACGCTTCGCTCATAGTACATCGCAATAGTCAATTTTAATTTTTTTTTAATGTGTATAATTACGTTTAGACAGTTTAGAGAATATTTCACGGTTGTTGTTTCTCCCGCGAAAAGTCTTGCGCAACATTCGATGAATCCCCCGAACTCCCCTTACCCTAAACTGTGCCCCGTGATTCAAACAAAAAACGTATTTAACCCCGCCCCCAATTCAAAATCCGAACTACGCGAGAAAGATAAGGAATATACGATGGGATCGAACCCCATCAAACTGGAAAATTTAAGCTACGCGAATCAGCAGTTCAACGATAATATTAATTTTTTTGTGCCTTTTTTTCGGTATTTTGTTATACATCGATAATGATAGGTTATTATCGTAAAATATATTGGTTATTATCAGTTATCGACGGATAAAACAAACGGGTAAAAACATTTTCGTGAGATTCGGTACATGGATTTGTAATATTTTAGATTCTGAAACAACAATGTTTTTTGTTTTTTTTTTTTTTCTGTTAAGAACTTTTTACCAGAAATTTTGTTCCTACTTTCAAGTGCAACACTTTTTTCTGAAAGGAAATCTGACTGGAGGGGGGATACTTTATAGAGTTCATTTTTTGATCCCACTAGGGGTTTTCATCATAAATAGGAAGAACCGGGGAAAACGTAGAAAAAACGAGAAAATGCACGAAATGTATTATTTTCAAATCGTAAACATTACGGTCTTTCAAAACACATTCCGTTCAGAATCGTTTTTCTGGTAAAATGATAAACCGTTGCGCACAGATATAAAGGTGCGTTAAATTTCTCCTATAACTTCCCAACTTCTCACCAACAACAGTGGCCCGCTGATCGTGCTAAGCATGTCCGTTTGTTTTTGATCACACACCGCTTTATCGATTGGCCCCATACAACAGGCGTGACGTTGCAGGAATATTACGACTACAGTCGTGGTAAATACGATCGCGTTGTTAAAATATTGTTTAATGCGGATTATAGTCAACACCTGTATAATATAATAATAATAATAATAATAATACATTTTATTGACCGTGATATTATTCCCGTACGCGTTGTATGCGCAGCCGGTTCGTGATGTGGGGCGGTTTCGGAGTGTCCGAGAAGCGACCGAGCTAATTGAAGATTACAATAATAGAAGTACGCGCGCGTATCATTGTTACGGACGTGAAAAGGGATCACAGGTTAAGTGACGTCGATATTAATTTTCACGCTGCGTAGTGTTACCGTCGTACCGTCGTAACGGACTATACAAAGAGCACAACCGGAGAAAAACCGGTATTTACAACGATTGAAACGGACGATACCAGAAACCGAAAATACGAGCATATTAGAGGGGCCTAGAACCGAATTGACTTTATAACTGGGTATACGTAGGTGCTACATAATTAGATAGAGGCAGCTATTACACAAGAGTGAATCGTATTGTTTTAGCGTCATTAAAGTGTAAATACGATTATAAAATATACAGTAAATAATAATATTTTTCACGAAACAATGCAATTTCTGCTTTTCACGAGATGAACGATGAAACGATTTCAATAGACAACTATGCTAGTTCGACACGAATAAAAGTTTTAAAAACCAATACAAATTGGCATTGCGTACGATGGATTCACGGAGGAGTTGTTGAATTGAAAAATGTGGGAAATTCGATCTCGAGTTGATTATACGAAAAAACAAATTTGTTCTTAGGTATTTTTGTGTTAAACTATTCGTATTGCTGTTAAAGCGCGGTACGATGCGGTTGGAACGTAACCAGTCTAAATTCCTTCGACGAAACATTCTTTTACCTCTCTTTTGCTTTATAATGACCACCCTTCACGTCTCTCTGTCCATCGCCGTTTACTTTACATGTTTATATGCTTTTTTTTTTCTTACCCCTTCCCGATGTTAAACACTTCGCTCTTCTTGACTACCTCATCACTTCTCTTTTCCCCACATGCCCATACTTATTCTCGATCTATGTTCTATTACTAATTTGTCCTGCTTTACTCCCAGACAAATTCTAATATATGTATATTCCTAAATCCTAATCCTATCTCCAATCTATATACAGCAAAGGCGGATCTAGACTTTAGTTTTAAGGCGTGTTCCAAAACTAACAGTTCTAACTATAAACGCTATGCACATTGTACACTGTAAGTATACCTGCTCGTACCTGGTATTAGTTCATTATTTGTATTTTTACGTATAATAAATGACAAATCAGTTTTCCTGAATTCGAAAACAATTTGGACAGTAGATGTTTAGGGTGTGCTAATAAGTATACTCGGCATATCCTGTAGCTCCGCTTTTAATATACAGTCGAAACTCGCTTACGCGTTTTATAGATTCATGTATATTAAAACTTGAATTTCTAGTAAAAACCA